GGCCTCCCCGCCCCCCCCCCGCGCGCGCTGCAGCCAGTGGAAGAGCCCCGTGGCCACAATGGACTTTGCTGATGGTGGGACACGTTCTTGGGGTTTTCTTCGTTTCCTGTCTTCAAATTCAAAGACATTCCTGGCAAGTTGGGAAGAGAAGGTCAAGTCCCTCTTCCTACCTCCCTCTCCTGGGCTGGCAGCCCATGGATGTGACCATCACCCACTTGTGGTCCCAATGGTGGCTCTTACCTGGGAGACAGGCGCCGTGCCGGAGCCGCAGCTATCGGAACAGGCGGGTGAAGTCCCTCAGAGCCCAGCAGACTTGTCTACATTCCTCACCGCTGCAAGACAACAGGGGGGACATCAGGGGAACATCATGGGGTGATGTTAAGGGGATGTTTGGGAAGCAGGGATGGTGTCCTGCACCCAGCATGGGACATCCTCATGGTACATGATGGTGACCAGGAGCACGGCAGCTCAGCGCTGGGAATGGCAAATGTTGGGTAAAATGGGGTCAAGAAGCCCCAGGACCATCACTGGAGGGGACACATGACATGAACCCAGCTCTGAAGGGCTCAGAAGACCAGATAAACCTGGTCAGTGATGGAAAAGGCAACACTGTGCCCTCCAAAGGAAGGCTCTGGAAGTGTTGAAGGCCTCTCTTGGACACAGGGGCTTGGAGCAACCTGCTCTAGTGGAAGGCGTCCCTGCCTGGGGCAGGGGGTGGAGCTGGAGGCGCTTTAAGGTTCCTTCCAACCCAACCTGTTCCATGACACTCACCTCGTGACCTGCTTGTGGAAGTCCGTGAGCTGTTTGTGTGTGACCTGGATGGCTCCTCCCGTCGTTTCCTTTGGTAGACCCTTCAGCGAGTTCTCCAGCCAGCGACAGAAGGTCTGCGGGAAGCAGGAGAAGGACAAAACTCAGGCTGCGGAGCCCCATCCAGCTCCCGCATCCCGGTTTGGGGAAGCTCTGGGACCTGCCCATGGCCACCACCACCTCCCCGTGCGGTCCCCTCACCGGCCGGTCGATCTGCATGATCTCCCAGAGCACCTCGGCGACGTCGGGCAGGGTGTAGGGTGGGAGGCAGAAGCAGCACGTGTGCAGGAGCTGGTTGACGAGCTGCTGGCCCAGTTGGTTCATCACCTGGTTGATGAGCTCCTTCCGCACTTCAAAGTCTTCCTCGTGCTGCAGGAGGAAGGAGAAAGGGGGTGAGAAGAGCCTGGGGATGGAGACATGGTGCTCTGGGAGCAGCAGTGGTGGCTTGGCTACGGCAGTGGCACAAGCCTCATGGGGGACCATGGTGGCAAAGGATGATGAGGATGGCATCCCAGCTCCGTGGAGGAAGACCTTCCTCTTCCAAGGACCAGCCCCATGGGTCACTCACATCATTGGCCACCCCGGTGTGGATGAGATCCCGTAGGAACTTCATGACACTGCAGTTGGCATCCCGGTGATCCAAGGTGGTGGCAGCGATGGCCCACTGCAGGATGGGGATCATCACTTGGCTCCGTAGCAAGGTGACGGGGCTGCGCTGGATAAACCTGGCCAGGCAGAGCACAGACAGTCACCACCACTCTGCCCATCCCCAGGAGAACACAGGACCTTCTCCCACCCTATGACTGCTCCCATGGGTGTCTGGGGGCCAAGGAGAGATGGGTTGGGGTGTCCTGGTGTGGCAGGAGAACGTGGTTACCTGGCTGCTAGTCTGAAGAGGTCATCCACGGTGTCGGGGTGGTTCTGAAGGCCGTTGGGTTGCTCTAGGAGTTGGAAGGTGGGGATGCACAGCGCCTAGGACAAGGGTTGTAGAGAATCCATTAGTTGGGGTTACATGTCAAACCGCTCTGCTCTCCAGAGGAGATGTCCAGCATGGACCACACCAGAGGAGGTCTGGCCTCAGGTTCTCCCAACAGCCACCATCTACATTGGATATTAGGAATTTCTTCACCCAAAGGGTTGTCCAGCACTGGAAGAGGCTGCCCAGGTCAGGGCTGGAGTCACCGCCCCTGGGGGGGTTTAAAGGACTTGTGGATGTGGCACTTGGGGCCATGGTTTAGTGGCGGGCTGGGCAGTGCTGGGTTAGCAGTTGGACTCGATGGTCTTAAGGGTCTTCTCCACCCTGACTATTGGGTGGCTGAGGTGGGAACCCACCTGCAGCATGTCGAGCAGACCCTGCCTGCAGACCCCCTCCATTCCGTCCTCGTCAACCAAGCTGCCCAGGTCAGGGCTGGAGTCACCGCCCCTGGGGGGGTTTAAAGGACTTGTGGATGTGGCACTTGGGGCCATGGTTTAGTGGCGGGCTGGGCAGTGCTGGGTTAGCAGTTGGACTCGATGGTCTTAAGGGTCTTCTCCACCCTGACTATTGGGTGGCTGAGGTGGGAACCCACCTGCAGCATGTCGAGCAGCCCCTGCCTGCAGCCCTCCTCCATGCCGTACTCGTCCACCAAGATGCTGCCCAGGTAGAGGAAGCAGGAGTGCTGGTGGGCCCGGTACACATTCACCATCTGTGGGGACACAGCAGCCACGGAGGGATGAAGCCACACAGTTACCTCCCAACATCCCAACCAGGATCTGCGTGGCATTCCCACCATTGCCCTTGAGAAAATGCAGTCTTGTTGAGCGCCAGGACAACAGCCCAGCTTGACAGACCTTCTCCCAGCCCCATGGTGAGCAGTGGATGGCCTGAAGTACTTGCTCTGGTCTCATCTTGTCTTTGGGAGCATCTCCATGCTGCAGCTCCCAAAGCCAACACAGCTTCTCCTTGCTTTTCACCCTTCCTTAGCCCCATGGAAGCACCAGAGGGACACCCAACGTTGGGCTGAAGAGTCACCTCTTCAAGGAGCCCCACCATGTGGAGTTTCACACATACCTCTCAAATCACAGCTACACCTACAGGGCTCCAGCCTAGAGAGCATCCATCAGGCAGAGCTCAGCTCTTCCCTGCAGCTCAAAGGCTCTCTCTGCTCCTCAAGGATTTATGTAGGAGCATCCCAAGACCACCAGCATCTACCACAGCTTGGCCATGCACCACTGTGTGACCAG